TTACCCGGAACCCTCGCATCCCTTTTATAGGAGGCGGAACCGCCTCGGTACGCTGGGCGTACGCGTACGTCATGCATGACCGCATCCTCGGCTGTCGGAGCTCGGATGACGGGACATAGAGACGTAGAGGGGCGACGTGGACGTTCCGAGGCCTAGCACTTGAGTACGTTGGGCGTACGAGGGTACGTTGGGCGTAACTCGGATCGGTCCGGTGACTCCTCCTTCGGATAATACCGGATTTTTAATTAAATTTATAATTTAATTATTTAGTAAACTTCTAAAATTCATATATTTTTCATATGAACTCCGTTTACGGCGTTCTTTATATCCACGCGTAGGTGAGACTAGGGATGAAAGTGGGTCCAAATCCGGACCGGATGGACCCGGACCCGGAAAACCCAGAACCGTTTAACGAGATTTCTTAGAACTGGAAACCGGACCGGATTATAGGAACTGGTTCCGGGTTCGGTTCCGGGTACGGTACGGGTAAAGTGGGTCTAGAACCGAAAAACCCGAAAATAGAAAAGTGGGTAAGGTGGAACCGGGTAAAATAGGTTTAGAACCAGAAAACCCGGATTTTTTTTTAATTACCTCAATCCCATAATTGTTATAAAAATTTAATAAACAAAAAATTTGATGGGTGGAGGATTAAAGTACAACTTCTATTGCATAAGATACAAGTTAATTACGATGGTAGGATGGGTTTGGACTAGGTTATATTTGCTAAACCTGTGATTATTGATAAAGATTATCCCCGTTAACCCATGAAGGCTGCTATAGCCATACAACAGCTAGAGTACATTACAGTTTTGATAAATAGCATACAAGTTAATTACGATGTACAGTCTAATATATTATCCTTTCTCAAATTATTAAAATAAAAGTTATATATTTCTTGTAGTTTATGGTATAAAATGGAACACAATTTGTTTTATAGTCTGTCAATGCGGACTCTCAATATTGTACCTTATTCTATTATTGTTGATGGTACTTGTGTATGTCAAATTATTAATAAAAATAGAGTATTTTACAGTTTTGGTGCAATAAACACGTGTCCTATATCGGTTCCACATTAAACCTAAACCGTTTTTTTGGCCCACTAAACCCGGACCCGGTCCATTAAACCCGGTTCCGGTTTTTTAAACAAAACCGGTTCCAAAACCCGGATTAACCGGACCCGTTGGACCCATACCCGAAATACCCGGAACCCGGATAAGAGTAATTTTGAAACCCAATACCCGGACCGTTTAAGTATTTTCCGGATATACCGGTTCCGGTTCCGGTCCGGTTCCAGTCCGGTTTTCCGGTTTTATAACTCATCCCTAGGTGAGACTACGCTCTACAACTTTCGTTTAGACTCCATTGGAAAATTTTGAAATTATTTTTATTATTTATTTTTAAAAGGTCGGGGCAGGAAAAGTTCGTTAAAAATCCATAACTTCTTCATCCGATGTCTATTTTCGCAAGACTTTTTACAGTTGAAATACCATTGTTGAGCCCTTCGATTCTCATTTAGGTCATTCCGGCCAAAAGTCGCTCGATCTCTGTTTTGATTTTTTAGCTGTCTACCGCTATACCGAACTTTGAAAATTTATAACTTCCTCATCCGAGGTCAGATTTGAGCGTTCCTTTTATGTATGTTCATGGTTTAATGATAACTATGACTTTCATTTAAATACCTAAGGCTAATAAGTATTTTATTGAAATTTCTCGTTTTACGTTTACCCGTAATGCCGGTTTTTGTTGTGAATCTTTGGTTGGTCATAACTTCTTCGTTATGACTCGGTTTCCAGTGTTCTTTATATTTCTGAAAATCTTGACATGATAACTATCATTTTTGGCAATTCAATAGACACTTTTGAACATTTTATTTTCGATGCTAATTTCATTATTTCAAAAGTGGTTACAATACTTGACTTTTTAGGTCATTTCATAGAGTTGAAATATCAAGTTGTCACAACATCCTCTCTTTGTTGTTATCTTCATCTATAATAGGTGACTTACACGATTCTAGGTCTACGACCTCCAAATCTTCACCTTCAGTAAAGTCAACACCACTACCACTTGCTTCTTTGGTGGTTTTTTGAACCCACTTAACATCTTCATTAACATGTGATGCGTGTATGGGCTATTTTGTATTGAGATTGAATAGTGTTTGAGACAAAAACAACAAAAGGATAGATTTGATAAACAAACTAGACCTATAGCTTGTAAATCTGAAGACAAACTAAGACCTATTAGTTTGAATTCGATCAACTCAAGGATCACGTCCAAAAGATGATAATTTGTGAGCTATGACAATAATTCAAAGTGAAAATAAGGGTTCTTTGATAAAAATTCGTGTAGCACTTTTTCCATGCGTAAACTTGGCTTTATATGAAGCCTTTATTACAAATTTGGTGGTTACAAGCCAACCAGCCAATTATTCATTAAAACTAGTAAATGAAAATTAAGGAAACTCTTGAAATAACACAAAAAAAACGTCCAAGACACTTGAGAATGAAAAAAAACGTCCATGCTTCATTAAGGAGCCATAAAAAAGCATTAAAGAGCCATAAGAAGCATTAAAGAGCAACCTTAATCCACCAAAGAGTGCTAAAAATGGCTAGGAGGCTTTATGAAGTAAAAAAGTAACGTTTATAGCACTTATGAAGCCTTAAAAATGTTACCCTAGCCTTTATGCAACCTTAATTCAATTTGTGGGTTACCATGCACAACCCAACCATTGAGCCCAAACCACCTTCTAGCCCAATAGTAATCACTAATCCATCACCTTTTGGGCTTTCATGATCCATGCATGGATCATCCCCTCCCCCTTTGAAAGGAATTGTCCTCAATTCATCAAGATAAGGTGAAAGATCTCTCACATTAAAGGCATGCATTCCATGGTCTCCTCCCAAATCCACATTGTAACCATTATCATTTTCAAAATTTGTCACTTCTATACATGTATCATTCCCTCCTTCATCGAAAGGAATTGTCCTCAATTCAGTAAGAACCAAATTTTGTTGTTCTCCCATACAAACCTTCCATGATAGTAGGTCTTGAAAACATATTTTTTTCCAGAATGTGACTTTTTTTTTACTCGAAGTTGGTCTCTTCTCCAGATACACATGTTCTTAAAATAACTAAAAGAACTCGTCGAATGAAATCCTAACCGTGTCTTCCATTTGTGGATTAAAAACCATTTTAGTACACTTCCATGAACAAGATTAGGACCTAGAAAGTTATCCTTGAAATAATTTAAAGGATTAAAAATGGTCATATGAAATAATAGATCATGATTTGTACTTATGGGTTGATAAACAACATGTCCCAATAACATGGCTTCCCAACTGAAGGTGCACCACAAGAATAGGAATCCAAGCATTATGAACTCCCTCCTTCGTAACTGCTTGGAACTTGGAACTTGATGGGTCACTCATTCTTCTAGGCTCTTACAAAGACGGTTTGTTATAAGACGGGTATCATCATCCTTCTTAACCACAACCACATCTTCATGGTCAAGAACCTGCTCCACCTCTTCGGATTCTTCAACCTTTTCTTCAACAAGTTTGTTTGTAACAACAAAATTGATTTCTTTCACAATCGTTTCAACAATTTCGTTTCTAACCACGAAATTTATTTCTTTAATTTCTTCATGATCGTCTTCCCCATCAGTGTCATAGAAAGGGCTAGAGCCTTCAACAGTTTCTTCTCCAGTCGCTAAATTGATTCTTTCAACAAATTCCCCTTCCCCATTGGTGTCGTAGATGGGACCGAAATCTTCTTCCTCCTCTTCTTTAATTTCCTCTTCCTCCTTAATGTCTTCTTCATCATATAACTTGCACAACATTTTTGGACAACAATTTATGAATAGGAACTGAAATCAAACAAACTTAGTAGGGATTTTTTTAAACAAGAACTAAACAACACCCAATCAGAATTGGGCTCTAATACCACTTATGATGCGTGTATGGGTTGTTTTGTATTGAGATTGAATAGTGTTCGAGACAAAACAATAAAAGGATAGATTTGATAAACAAACTAGACCTATAGCTTGTAAATCTAAAGACAAACTAAGACCTATTAGTTTGAATTCGATCAAATAAATGATCACGTCCAAAAGATGATAATTTGTGAGCTATGACAATAATTCAAAGTGAAAATAAGGGTTCTTTGATTAAAATTCGTGTAACACTTTTTCCATGCATAAACTTGGCTTTATATGAAGCCTTTATTACAAATTTGGTGGTTACAAGCCAACCAACCAATTATTCATTAAAACTAGTAAATGAAAATTAAGGAAACTCTTGAAATAACACAAAGAAAACGTCCAAGACACTTGAGAATGAAATAAATGTCTATGCTTCATTAAGAAGCCATAGGAAGCATTAAAGAGCCACAAGAAGCATTAAAGTGCAACTTTAATCCACCAAAGAGTGCTAAAAACGGCTAGGTGTCTAGGAGGCTTTATGAAGTAAAAAGTAACGTTTTAAGCACTTATGAAGCCTTAAAAATGTTGTCGTAGCTTTCATGCAACCTTAATTCTATTTGTGGGTTACCATGCACAACCCAACCATTAAGCCCAAACCACCTTCTTGCCCACTAGTAATCATTAATCCATCACCTTTTGGGCTTTCATGATCCATGCATGGATCATCCCCTCCCCCTTTTGAAAGGAATTGTCCTCAATTCATCAAGTCCATCATCATCAAGATAAGGTGAAAGATCTCCCACATTAAAGGCATGCATTTCATGGTCTTCTCCCAAATCCACATTGTAACCATTATCATTTTCAGAATTTGACACTTCCATACATGTATCATTATCTCTCACATTAAAGGCATGCATTCCATGGTCTCCTCCTAAATCCACATTGTAACCATTATCATTTTTAGAATTTGTCACTTCCATACATGTATCAACATGTATATGAAATTCTTTCATATCAACATCCACATCATTTACAATATTTTCTAAATCCACAAAGAAGTCTTCGTCCTCACTCTCATCATCTGTCATATTATCCTCACTCCTACTACCCTCACTCCAAGGACGCTCACTAACACTTTCCTTATTTCCACTGTATTCATCCTCAAACAACTCAACATCATGTAGATTTTTCCCCCACCATATTCCGCGTCCACATCCCCCATTACCTCATAATCATCCACTGGATCAACATCCCGTTTTGGTTGGTGCTCATCCCCTGTGTCAACATCTTTTTTACCATGGTTATCCTCAAATTGTACCCCCCCTAAAGGGATCACTCTCTCGATCAACTGAGTTTTTTTTTGTTGATCACAGGTTCATATGTTACAATTAACTTTGACAAATCAGTGGACTCATTCAAATTCAACTTTTTACTACATGACCCAACTGATTTCCTTTTCATTCTAACCCTATTTATTTCAGGAGAATGATTCCCTTCAACTTCCTCAATACGAACCTTCAATGGGGACTTAAAGCAAGGGACTACTCTATTATTTCCTAGCTCAATGTACAAATTAATTTCCTTATGATTAAGCACATACCTTGCCAACTGAATGACTTCCTGATCGGTGCCAAGGGGTAACAATCCACTATCGAAGTCTGTCTCTAGGATCATGAAATGGTAAAACATTATACCTCCATCATTGTACCTTAAAACTGCCATCATATCATCTAACTTGTGGACTGAAAACACATCCATGTCCAAAAAATCAAAGTGATCCACAAGCCCATCTATGTATGACTTTCCAGATACCGTATTTGTGAACGAACCCCCATGATTTATCTTGAATGTGCAAAAGCTTGAAATAGAACCTAATGTGAACATTCAAGAACAATAAGATGTTAATGATAGAGGAAAGAAAAATTACATTTCGTCAAAACCTAGCATTACAAGGTCCATGCTTACCATATTCTTTATGTAGGTCTGGTGGTTGGGTGTAGCGTGGACATTGTGACAACCCGATATTTCAACTTTATGTAATGACCTAAAAAGTCAAGTATTGTAGCTACCTTTGAAATAATGAAATTAACTTCAAAAATGAAATATGTAAAAGTCTTTATAAGAATATCTATTATGTTAGATATTGTGCCAAGGTTTACAGAAATACTAAGAACACTAAAATCCGAGTTATAACGAAGAAGTTATGACCATTCTAAGATTTCCAGCAAAACTGGCAATACCGATTAAATGAAAAACGCGAAGTTTCAATACAATAGTATTTATCCTTAAGTATGTAAATGAAAGTTAGAGATAACATTAAACAGTGAGCTTACACAAAAAGAACGTCCAAATCTGACTTCGTATGAGGAAGTTATGATTTTTCCAAGATCAGAATCTAGTAGTAGACAGCTAAAAACTCGAAATAGAGCCCGAGAGACTTTTGACCAAAACAACCTAAATGAGAATCTAAGGTCTCAACAATAATAGCGCAACGGCGAAAAGTCTGACGAAAACGGACATCGGATGAAGAAGTTATGGATTTTACACGGACTTTTTGTGTCCCGGCCCGTTAAAAGTAAAGTCAAAATTTGCCGATGAAGTCTAAACAAGAGTTCTAGATCATATTTTCAGCTATGCGTGCATATAAAGAACGTCGAAAACGGAGCTCGTACGCGAAAGTTATGGATTTTACAAGTTCGGGGTCCAAAATCTGAGGTTGTCAGCCTCCCCACGACGTGGCACAGTTTTGCCACGACCCGGCAAATGACTGAGGGCGTCTAATCAATGGAAGAGGATAGACTTGCTCCCCACGACGTGGCCAACCCTATCCACGACGTGGCACTCAAAAATACCCCTATAAATAGAACTCTTGGGGTGCCGGGTTTAGGTGCTCCATTCTTCCCTCTCTCGTGCTGAAACTCTACGGTTAAGCTCCCGAAGCCCTCCCGAAGCCCCGGTTTTCACACTCAAGTTCCAAAGGAAGGTTCTACTCTCCCGACACTCCCGATATTTCCGAGATTCCTGAGAATCCCGAGAAAATCGACTTCACAAGCCGAAGTTCTGTTCAATTTTCATCTCGCTTTCCCTAATCAATCAAGTGAGTTCATACCCCTATAAACTACACTTTCAAATGTTTATCACTGCTTTTTATACACTTTTAAGGGGTGGGGGGAATACAAGTAAACACACGGTTATTATCGCGTGTAACATAAAGAATCAATATATACTCTTTTCTATTAAGTGAATCATATGTGATTCATAACTACTACATGGGAACTTTTGCATGAAATATATATTCACGATAACATCTTGACTTTTGGAAATAAAACATGTTTTATATATATATATATATATATATATATATATATATATATATATATATATATAAATGTGAATCAAACCCTTTATTTATACTTTAAGTATATGTGATCATTTATGTCACTTTATATGTTATACGTTACATAATAAGTGAGCATTACACTAGGATTTACTATACGAACAAAACACGCACTTTGAATAACTATAATAGGTATAGTTTACGAGGAAATCATGAACATTTACATACTAGAAATACTATATCAAAGAGATACTTTCACATTCAGGAACAAACGGACATTTTCATACGTAAATCTGTTTTATACTAAGTTTTGTGAGACATTTCACGTACCTTCGAGTATGCATTTTAAGTCCCGTTTATATACCATAATCCCTTGTAGGGGGAGCGTGATACTTGTGTATAGATCTATACTAGATTGAAAATCCCGCACCTGAGTTATTAGCTACAGCTAGGCCGGCAAGCCTGGGGTGACAAATGTCATAACATTTCAACGCCTGAAGAACGTTGTTACAGGCAGTCTAGGTCATTAGTATGGTTATAAAACTCACATGGAGTATTAAGAACTTATTGATTTACCGGGTTATTAAATGCCTTAGTGCTTTTATACTTACACAAATTTACTACTCTAGGCATGAAAAACACGAATGCATTTCAGTGTTGGAACTTTTAAACCACCACACACTTATGAACGGATATTGGATTTATAAAAAGAAAACCTTCAAAACAGTCGAGTCTTTGTAGAAGAATACTTTTATACTATTAGGAAATATTGGATTTCCTAGGAGTCTTTCGAAACATTTGCAAACAAATATCATTTGATTTTATTCAAACATTGTCACTAAATACTTATGAACTCACCAGCTTAAATGCTGACCTACTCTTTCGAAACTACTTGTATTTCTCAGGGATTCAGTAATACAGGTAAACTACTGCTTTTGAATAAGGGACGTTGCGGCGTTAGTTTAAATTCATTTTGACAACATATTGTAATTGATATTTTGGAACCTGTAATACCTACAAATGATGTAACTTTTTCAATTATATATATGTTGGCTGTGTTTGCTTTCTTTACTATGTATTCAACTGTTTCGATACTACATGAAGTCAACCGCCCTCGAACGATTCCGTCATTTTAGTTTGGAGGTGTGACAGACATAAAGACCACAATGTGAGCACCATTTTCCTCGATACACCCATCAATCAGTTGAACTGTTTTGTCGGACGACGATAAGAACTCACAATTGAAGAAGATGGGATGATCAAAAGGTTTTCCTGGGGAATGAGATAGAGTGTAAAGTAAATGTATGAAACTAAACCCTGCCACCTTAATGGATACAGCTATTAATTTATATGTTCAGAAAAGGTCCTTTAGGCTAAAATGACATAAATACCCTTATATGCAAGTCAAATGGAGCAGCTTAACGTTGGAATGGACGGACATCCAACTCGGGGACCAAACACGTGCAACTTATGGTCCGTAGGTACTATTTGAGGGGAAAAAGTACCGTAAGGACTACATTAGGGAAAAATCCAAAACCTAAAGGACCATTCGTGTAATTTGTTCTAAGGTGTATGTGGTGGTTGATGAAGGTGATGCTGTTGAAAGATATTTATGCTTAAGAATCATTATAGAATGATATTTACTAATGACATATGATCCTTATGAACCTTCTAACAAGTTGTCACTTATTGATGATTTATTATAATTTGATTACTAATAAATATTATCAACATTTGTAGTTTTTTGAGAAATTATTATTTTATGAAAATAATAAAACTAAAGAGAATAATTAGTTAAAATATCATATAGTATGATTAAATGTTATTTTAAACATATGGTAGTTCTCTACATACTGTTATACATTTAATTAATGGGTTAGAGTGTTTGCCACATTTTCTCCATCCTCCCTCCTTTAATGTAACGTCCAAAAAATACTCATAAAATATTTTGTTTTTATAACCATCAAATCAATACATCAAAAATTTCAAACCAATCATGGTAAAAATGTATCACAACTATCATTGTAAAATAACAAGCATCGGTATGGAAATCATAAGGTGTGCAGTCAAACCATGTCCTTCCTTTTGGAACTGGAAGTACCTGAAAAAAATTTAAACCACAAACCATAAGCATAAAGCTTAGTGAGTTCCCCAAAATATCACATACCATAAAAATAGGTCAAGCCCAACATGTAAATGAGCCAAACCCAAAGTAGCTACAATTGATCCCAACCCAATCATGTGAATGGCCCCCCTAACATACATATAAATCGGTCCAACCCAACATACAAATGAGCCTAGCCTAACAGACAAATAAATGGGCACAACCCAAGATATAATAAATGGGCCCAATCCAACGTACAAATAAATCGGCCCAACCCAAGATATAATAAATGGGCCCAACCGAACTTACACATGCAAGAGTCATAAAGACAACTAACATCCTACACAGAATAGTGAGAAATGTTGATGGGCTTTGAGCACTACATCAATCCTATGGTGTACATGCAAACCCTAAAGCTTTGGATCTAGTTTGTCTAATGAACATGCAATAATCATCCAAAGCTCATAAACTCTAAATCTAGCATATAATAATCGAATTAACAAATGAAAATAGGGTTTAGATCTTACCTTGATTCTTATGTAGCAATAACAATCACAAATCTCCTTGATCTTGACTCTTGAAAGCTTAGTGCCTCAAATGTTGCACCTCTAATTGAATCACAAACACCATGAGGAACAAGATGAACAAAGATAAGTAGGAGAAGGCACAAAAACGTCCAAGAACCCTTAGGGATCACTTAGCCACGTTTTTGGGAGGCTTAGGGGTGTATATATACTTGTGAGGGCTCCTAGGGTTTCAGGTGAAACCCTAATTCTCTGCTTAGGCCTTAAGCAACCCATGGAGTCCCTCTAGACAACCCTTGGACAAAATCCATATGGGCTTCCCATAGATTTCATCCCATGCCCTTTCCATTGGGAATCCATAGCCTAATTTTCAACTATCATATAATTGCAATATCAGTCCCCTTTATTTAATTAATCTCTTTTAGCCACAAATTAATTCTTAATTAATTATTGCCTAATATTAATCAAACAACATGATTTCTCCTTTAATATATTATTCTTATAATATATTAATAAATCCTAATTAATCCTCTTTCTCCTTAATTCATCACATCAGTTGTTATGGTGAAGGCAACCCAAAAGGACCATGTTCATAATTGGGTCAAGTACATACCAAAATAGTTATGGGCTTAGACACCTAGTCCAACAGTCTCCCACTTGGATAAGTATAATAACTAATTTTCAAGTATGACTTCAGAACCTGATCAGCAATCGTAGCTTTCAAAAGTCGCAATCAACTCTGATCTTATCAGTAACGCATCCTTTAGATAAGGGATCATATATTCCTCCGTTCTAGATATCGTATGAACTGAGACATGGATTTTAATCATACTCTATGTTCATGTGTTATTTCCCGATTTCCGATTTATGACGACTGACAACATACTACAATTAAACACATCAACTTAGTCCCAGCTTG